TTACCTGGAAAGTGCCACCAAGCACGGATGCCTGACCTTATTTGGAACATGACCTTTGGCATAGTTACCTGGAGTAAAAACTACCCCCAGGTTTTTTCTATATGATTATCAGGCATTGCCTTATAGTCAGAGGATAGGAGCCCACTGCCACATGTAAATAAAGCATACTGTGAGCACCTATTAGCTGAGGCTTTGGCTACTGCCTCCACACTATAATTTCTCTAGTTCTCCCACTGAATAAATGGAGCTGTTTCACTGAGTCTGGAGCTGAATCACTGCATCTAGAGCTGAATCTGTTTCACTGCGCCATGGAACCAGCCTCCCCAGAAGGGCTTTCTTCCATCAGTGCTCACTGGCCGTCCTGACTCCGTTCACCGCTTCTGCTCCCCCTGCCCTCGTGGACCGGTGGCCAACAACCCATGAAGAGAGGGAGAGACCTCCGCAATAAGTAGTTACTATTTTGAGCAATCCTTGTGCCCTATAACTCATTTAATAGAAACATCTCAACCTTCTTAAATGCACATCATTGTTATCATACCTATTGATAAACAAAGAAACTAAGGAACTCTGATTATGCAGCTAGTCCAAGATCATCAAAGCAATGACAGGTCCAACTAAGCAGTTATGGGCCTCAGGGTTCCGCAATAAGTAGTTACTATTTTGAGCAATCCTTGTGCCCTATAACTCATTTAATAGAAACATCTCAACCTTCTTAAATGCACATCATTGTTATCATACCTATTGATAAACAAAGAAACTAAGGAACTCTGATTATGCAGCTAGTCCAAGATCATCAAAGCAATGACAGGTCCAACTAAGCAGTTATGGGCCTCAGGGTGCATACGGTTTGATTGCAGAATCCCTGAGGGGATTTTGCAATCCAAATTCTATATAAAGGATTCATTTTTTGATCCATTAGGAAATTCATTACTGATTTCCTACTCTGTTATACTTTCTGAACCACTTTCTTCACACTTCTTTACTTTCTTCTATCTTTTTCTTTATTCTGGGGCATAGGAGTTGTTTAGTAACTCACAGCTAATGAGACCATGTGTATTATAGCTCCCTGGGTACATTTTAGTGCAGAACAGGGAGAATCAAAGTGAGTCCTCATTTTGCAAAAGGGATATAAATATGCCAAACAAAGTTCCCAGACGATTGTCTTTGGATGAGCTGATGTAGTGTGTTTAGGCAGGGACCCTGCCCTAGAACCATGCACAACTCAGAATCCTGAAAAAGCCTTTTCTCTTGTCTGTTATCATATATAAACTTCAAAAAGAAATGGGAACTATTAATTTTGTCACTTTACCAGTGATGAAACAGACGTAGAGAAGTTGAAGGACCTCAGTCAGGTCCTTGATCACGTAGTGGCAGAGTAGCAGTGGCACCAGAGCCCAGCAAATTGCAGGCAGTGGAATCACCCCACCCTCCTCCCTCTGCTTCAAAGTATCATACTTCCTAACTCCTCTGCCTTCCTACAAAGCACTTCTTCTTGATTAAGATTTTGTTGATATCCAGGAGAAGGTCATCTTAAAATTTTAAATACAAAGTTTTGCCATTGGAAAATATTTGAAATTTTTCTTCTTTTCCACAATCTTTCAAATAGAATTTTTCTAAGTTCACTACTCTATCTTCTTTTGGATTAATTTTAGTTAGTTACTAACTTCTATGAAACCCAAATACTTTGCCTGCAAGACTCTCAATAGATGGCAAACATTACCTTCATCCTTGGAATATATGGGAGACTCACACAGCAATGACAGCTTTTCAAAGGGCACAGTACCTAGCTCGCCACAATTAGATGAAGAGAGAATTCTTGTATCCAGTATACAAAGTCAACATATGCGGTCAGGCATGGTGATACATACTTGTAAACCTGGCACTGAAGAGGGTAAGACAGGAGGACTGTGAGTTTCAGTCCAGCCTATAATTTTGGCTATGAAGCACAGTAAGTTTAGGTGAACACAGCTTTTATTTGTGACTCCAAATTGGATATAAATCAATGTTTCTCTCAAAATCATGAAGTCTTTGAATAATATTTTAATTTATCTTAATTTATCCCTTATCCAGAAACTAGGAAAATGCCCTCCTAAACTGCCTCTGAAAGTACAGTAAAACTTAAATCCCATGACCCAGATAATATTCTTCCTGCCTGTGGTATCCCTCAGAAACAGGGTTTTCTCCTGGGTTGATGCCAGTGACCATTCAGTCTTTCTAAAGTATTTAGGGTGTCTTAGTCCAAAGTTTCTACCTCTGATACCCATTTTTGGCCCGATAATCCCCCCTACACTGATGTAGGATTGAGCCTATTGATTTCCCCCATCAAACCAGTACAATGTACTTCTTGTAATTTAGCCTCACGTTAATATTTTTTGGTTTTTGTACAAAGCAGAAAGGTCTAATCCCAACATAACTCAGCAATATTAACTCTTCCTTTAATAACTCATCCCACTCACTAATATTAACAGCAGTGTTTACCTCATCTTTTCAAATCATCTCCATCTGGCAGGCTCAGCACACAACATGGACCAGGAAGTAGGAAAGTCAAGGCAGGCAGTGCTTCTAGTCTGAAAACAGAGATAGTCATATCTTCCAAAGAACTCAGTTCAAGACAAAAATAAAAATGAAGTCTTCAAGTCATTATATGCTTCCTGCATCCAGTTTATCAGAGTCACCTACAAAGCTGTAATTTGAGACAACATAGTAAAAAAGAAAAACAGTTCGCTGATCATTTCCTGGAGTACACTTTTCTCCAAATAGAGCTCATAGTGTTCAGTGTGTTATGCAAGCAGATGAAGTGGTCATGTAGGAGAGAAGAGATGAAAATACAAGGAGACCATAGCAGTAGCACAACTGTACAACTTGTAAATTACCAGTCAGAGAGAACATTTATATATCAGGCTTTTTGTGCAGAGCACTCAGTATTACAGAAGTCTCTGGGCACTAGATTAACATCACTATTTGGGATATCCTCACTCCAAACACTGGCCTGATCTTTGAGGGACAGATATATTCTTGCCACCGGGTCAAACAGGAGTCAGGGAAATGACACCTACAGAATGGCCATCAGGCATCCACTATGCTGAACATAAACCTTTTGACCACAGGAGGGAAGATGCTCAGGGACACACAGGGAGACAGTGTCCTCAGAACTCACCACCATTAAAGGCCAACAAGAAAGAACACTAGAACAGAAGTGGCCGTAAGGAAAATGCTCCCTATGGGGTCTGTGGTACAAGTCTGCCTAGCTACTCACAAAGTTAAGGCAGAAGAGCTACAGAACAAGACTAAAAGCCAGTCTGAGCAACTTATTGAGGTCTCAAAGTAAAACGGGGGGCAGTGATGCAGATCAGTGTTAGAGCACTTGTCTAGCATGCCTTAGTTGCTACGTTCAATCCTTAGTATTAAGTAAATGAAGAGAAGTAGGGAGGGTGGAAAGGAGAGAGGAAAAGAAGGAGGAAAATGAAGGTGTCTGCCATATAACTGCCTACCTTCTTATGGAAACCATATTCTTTAAGCAAATTCTCCAAATTGAGGTGTGTTTTTAATAAAATAAAACTGATCGTGAAATACTGATTTAAAATTTCTGAATTTATGAAAAACAAAATAAAACAAATCTAGTTTTGAGGAAACTATAGTAATGTGTTGCTTAACGATGGAGAAGTGTTATGAAGGACACATTGCTAAGGGATTTCATCATAGTTGGAACATCAGAGTCCACTTCTACAAGCTAGAATGGTTAGAGTGTCACGGGACAATATAAACTTGGTACTGCCATATTGTCCATGTCCTCCATCGAGTGACACATTGTACAATCTATGACTGCACCTGAGTAAAGAAAAAAAAATGTCAAAGATTCAACTCTTCAATCAATTTCATGTTTCCTTCACTCATGGCCAGGTTAGAGAAGAAGTTGGTGATGTTACCATCCTCATTAACAATGAGGGCCTTGTAACAAGGGAAGCTCTTCCTTGATACTCCAGATCGCATGGTGGAAAGATCGTTTATAGTCAATGCCATCTCTCATTTCTGGGTAAGTCTCTCCCTTTCTTTTTACTTTATCAGTGAGTTTAGCAATTACATGAATATCTCAGAGCAACTGTTCAGCATCTGTCTGTAGACGTATCATTTGGGAGTATTCATTGACAGCTGGTAGAGGTCTGTCCTTACCAGGTTCCACTCTACCTGAACTAGATTGGTTTTTCCTGATTTTCCCTACTCTAAATTCTCATGGAAATATCTCCCCTCCACACATTACAGTTTGACCTGAAGACTTAGTAGGATATTCAAAAGTTTTACTACCCTAATTCAAACTAAAATGTGCTAACAGTTATACAGAGAGATTTCACTTTTCATGAGTGGTATAGGAGCTTATGTAGAGAGGTGTTGTTTTCAGAATGATCTTATACAAGTAAGACTACACGTAAGAACAAAGGAAATGAAGGCAGGCAGAAACAGTCAACGTTATTTACCACTCTGTATACCAGGTGCTGTTCTGAGCTCCTTAATTGTACATGCACCATTTTCATTCTCACTTTACAAACAGGGAAATTGAGGCCCAGCTGTTAAAATAAGTTTCCCAGTCTCATGTAACTGCTAAGTAGTGACCCATTCTCACACATAGAGAAAGTAAGAGAAGAGAGAAATAATTTTTCCAAAAAGAAAATTGCTAAGTATAATACTTCAGGAGTGTCCCTCATAGGAACAAGAGTGGCTAGATAGCACTGTCCTACAAAACTGGCTTTGATGGTGGAATTGTTTTCCATCTGGTTCCCAATACGGTGGCCACTGTGTCTATGGAACAAGTGGAAATACAATTGATGGAACTGAAGAACTAAACTCTTAACTCTATGTCCTTTAGCAATAATAATAATAATAATATATAATGTATAACAATAAATGTACATTTAACTAGACACATGTGCCTAGACGCTGATTCTTTGCCCAGTGCCACTCTATACAATGAGTAAGAGGCTTAAGGAAGCTGGAATTACTAGAGTTCTTTGCATTGGGAGGGATACACTTGTTGTTATTATAGAAAAGTATGTAACAGCAAGTGATGCAGCATGCAGGATATTTAAGCAATGGAAACCAGGACCTTCAGAGATATGGGGACTAGTACAGGAGGTAGTACCTCAGTTCCCAGTTTGTTTATGTCTCCCAATGTTTCCTTCTTTTCACCCAACATTTTTGAAGTCTTTACAATCTTCAAAATTACTTCATTTGACTTGTTTCTTGGTCACCAGAAAGTGACAGAAAACCCCACTGCAGCCCACAAATCAATTTTAGTCAATACTAACTGAACAACTAACTCGGGGATTGCATGCATCAGGTGCTCCATAAACATTTCTATAAATCGTTTTCTTTCCTTGTATCGTGTTGCCCTAAACTTTTAAAGGCAAACACCAACTGGGTAGATAGAACTAGGATCCACTCCTAATCATATCACAGACCTGGAAATCATTTTGATTCTTTCGTGTTCTGTTATATCAAAATCCCTGGCTCTCATGCAAAACACACTCAAGTCCACATCCCTCCAACCTCACTGCCAGATATCTGAGTCATCTTTGTCCTTCACTGACAGCCTGTCATCATCTTCCATCCTCAGCACTGGTGACTTCTAACTTATGTTCATATGGTAGAGAGATGATATTTACAATGTATGAGTCAAATAATCTCATTCTCCAGTTCAAAAATATTCAGAGGCCTCCATATACATGGAGAATGGAATACAGTCATTTTTGCTCACTCTCAGAGCTTCACAGATCTTGATAAAACCCCAGAGTGCATGAAACCCTCCTCAGAGGTCTTGGCTTAAGCTGTTCTCTCTAACTCATATAGGCTCTATATATCCCTTAGGGTTCCTGCAGTCACTGATCTTGTACTTTGTTTTTTAACATTTCTTTTTTCATATTTGTATTAATTTTTTATTTTTATAAATTTTGTACAATATATTTTGATCATACTTAGATTTTCCCTCCCACATCTTCACCCCCTTTTCCAGCATTCTCAAATCAATAGATAGAGAGATAGATAATCTTTTGAGCTGGAACTGCTTCCACAGAGGCCACATTTATATTCTAATAACATAATCTTCATTTCTCTTCTCTCTAAGCAAGCCCTCAGGTAAAGATTACCCTGAAGCCAAATGTACAATCTAGTCCTACTTCAACACCATTAGCAATGAGAAATGTGTCTTAAGCCATCTCCACAGTTGTCATCCTAAGGCCAAGTCCTCATGTACTAGCCCTAAGTCATAACGAATTCTGTTTATATCCATGAAATCTGGCTTACAAGTGACTGAAAGTGTACCATGCAAACTTCTGAGAGGTCTGAAAGGTTTCAGGTTTAGAGTTCAAGGGGGACACTGACCTGAGATATATTGTCTTTGGGGGTAAGAAGTTTATGAAAAGGATCATTACTCAGACAGGCAGACAGACAGACAGACAGATAGATAGATAGATGATAGATAGATAGATAGATAGATGATAGATGATAGATAGATGATAGATAGATGATGATAGATAGATGATTGATTTATTGATAGATAGATAGATAGATAGATAGATAGATAGATAGATAGATACTTTTATTTAGATGTTCAAATGATGCCCTTTAGTGTGGGTTCATCCACTGAAGCCTGGTCAACGTGGTAAGAGTCTGACCCTTAAATGAGACTGAATCTCCCTTTCCCAGCAATCCTCGAGTGCCAATATTTCCTTAGCTAGGGTTGGGGATACTTACCTACCTCCCTATGTCTATGCTGGAAGTTTTCTGACTTGAGCTTACATGGGATTTGTCCATGCTGTCAACACTACTGTGAGTACATATGAGTAACTAACTGATCATCTGTCTGGAAAACTCTGCTTCTTTGTAATCATCCAACACCTCCAGCTTTTAAAATCTTTCCACCCCCTCTTCCACAATGGTCCCTGAGCCTTGGGAGGCAGGCATTTGATACAT